ATATAAAATAAAAAAGTGAGAAAAATCAATTAGAAAATTTTAACACCATTTTTTAAATTTTTTAAAATCAGCTCATTAAAATTTTTTCCTATCATTTCCTTAATTTTTCTTCATACCAAACAGACTTTTAGTTTCACGTTTTCTAATTAATAATTCCCTCTCAGTATTTTCTAACACAGTAGAATGGAAAAAAAGAAGAAGAAATTAATCCTCCCGAGACGATGCAATTATTAATTCATTCATAATCTGATATATGGATATGATCATATGAATAATGGTACTATAACTCAGGAGGAATCTTATGCAACCCCCCACAGAAAAAAACTATAAAAAGAATAGAATGTAAATAAGGAGTATTATATCCTCCGGTACTTAATATAAGACCTATTTAACTAATTTGATTAGATTAAAAATGTTAGGTAAGTTAGTTAATTATAAGAAATATGACACTTTTTTTCTAAAATACCATAATTATTTTTCTTAATATCCTCTTTTCCTCTTCTACTTGATTATGGTTTGAGGGAGTATCCATAGGAATAATTTAGAAAAAAATGATAAATATAAGAAATAGATCTTATATTTATGACCAAAATCAACTCAACAATTAGGTCATATATTAAGGATTGGAAGAGTATATAACAAGAATATTTTATCGAAAATTAATGATCACATTCTTATTCTTAATAAATATAAACAGTAGTAATATATAATTATGCCAATATTAAATTATTATTCTATTTATAAAAATATTTAATAAATGTGGCAAAAGATATTTTGGGTTTTATAGTATCACCGCTTTATTAATTCATTATTATTTATTTTAACTATTATATAACATCACTAAAATAAAATAAAATATGTTTTCAGGCACTACAATGATAATATGATAATTTTCTATAGTATTAAACTAAAGATGACCTTAAGATTTCCCAAACTTGAATATTTATCAATCGTTTATTAAAATTTTTACACCATTATTAATAATTAATACCAGAACATACTAAAATGTGTAAGTGAAAGAGGATTAAGAAAAAAAAACAAGAATAATGATTTGCAAAAGAAAAATTGGTAGGAGAAGACAATCCAATGGAAAGAAAAATGGCCCCACAAAGTAGGGGCACATATAAATCAGAGGCTTTATTTTAATTTTTAGGGACCTAAAAAAATCCAAAGATGAGAATGATATGCCCAACACTTTACATTTTTAAAGTTCAAACAAAGCCTCCACATTGGACCCAAAATGTCTCCTCCCATAACCTTATTTCACATTTTGTTCCCTCTTGATGGGACGCGTTATTTTGGCACCATTTGCTTCTTAATTAATCATTAATTAATATTAAAAAATTTAATCACAATTAATCAAATGCCTTTTTTTTTTTTTCCTTTCCTCATCATTCTTTTACCATTCCCTGTCTTCAAATGCATGTGTAACATAATTGAGAATAAAATCCCCTTTTTGGCCGCTAATCACGCCACATGGCATCCTGTCTAGATAATAATGAATCAAAGCACCTCCATTTTGAGCATAATTAATTCAATTTCATATTATTATCTTAAACTAAATGTACCCTTATATTAGTTTATTGCACCTTTTTTATTTTGATTTAATGGAGAATAAAAATATCAGAAATACTAACAATAAAAGCTTCATAACTTTTTGGATCATGGATCAATACTTAAGAACTTAGTTTTACTTCAGAATACTGCCTATATGATGTTTGTCTTTATCAGCAGATAAATTCAGACTTTATTCATCATGCGCAAAATAAGGGATAATTAATTGGATATTTGCTAGAAACTTAAAACAATATGTTCTTTTTATATATCATATCATCAATCAATGCATTCTAGATTCTACTTATAAAGCATTTAGAACATAGTATTCATTTGGTTATATTTATAAGTTACTTCCAACATGTTTCACACATATCAAACAAAACCTTAAACTTCATTAACTCTTATTTAAAATTCAATAATTTTTTTAACTTTATCCCTATTTAATATACATTATATATCATCTAAACAAAGTCAACACAATAATAAATGAAGGGTAAAATTGTATATCCATACAAAAAATTTCTTTCAGCGTCTTATAAATAAGACCCAAAAAATATTTTTTCTTTGCCTTATAAATAGAACTAAACTCTAGAGGAGTATTTCACTAGAATCAAGAAAAAATTCAACTCTCCCTAATCATGTGTTAAAATTTAATGAATTTTTTTCACTCTATGCCTGACTTAATATACACTTTTTTAAAGAAAATAACAGTATAAATATTAATAAATTAAAATTAAAATAATATATTTATACGATAAAATTAATGAGATGACTTATATTAAGAACTTTCGGTAAAAAAAAAAAACTTATATTAAGAACTAAAACTACTCTCTATGTTCTATAAATAAGAACAAAGGAATAAATGCAATTAATTTTGTTATGGGCCCACGGACATAAGGCAGTGCCTAAATTAGGCTTTAATGATTGCACGTTAATCTCATGAGCAATTAAGCTATTCACCCGTTAGGCCGGTTTATCAGGGTATAATGTCCTACACCTCAAACCCACGAGTTGCTCACCCACTTTTTAATTTTTATATGTGTATATATATAATTATAATATAATTATCAGGGCTTTTTCTTTTCATGTGTTATGTTATTAATTTTAAAAATAAATCACACTATTTATGATTTACATATAATATTAGTGTAGCTTGTTATAACTCTCACTGTATTACGGTAAGATACTTCCTCTACTTTATAGTATTTGTTTTCTTTCAACATCTTTATCTAGAAAATAAAACAAAAGAAATTAAAATTTTTAGTTAAATAGTAATAAATTTTACCACGTTCAAAGCTATTTAATAGCTTTCCTATTTTATATGCATTATTATTTATTACAGCTATACCAATGTGATCAATGGATGTTAGCACCTAAAGTTCGTGGTTAGTGGGTCCAGTTATTAATAGATTATTAATAGATTATTAATTACTTTGAGTAAGAGCAATTTAATTTGACAGCAAACTTTGGAAAAACAAAAAAGATGCCAAAAGAAGATGGTTAAAGGATAGGGATAGGTACTCACTTCTATTCTTTTTAGTTGTGGTTTAAAATTTTAGCATACAAATTATTAATTAATAAATACTACTCCATTCTTTATTATCAGATCATTTTAACTAAATTGCATGGTTTAAGAAAATAGTTAAAATTAGTTAAAAGCAATTAATCTGTAGCAAATGCAGTTTTTTCTCTCCAAATATATCCATATATATATAAATAGATAAATATGAGAGAGTAATAATGAGATAAATGATGAAAAAGAATGTATTAAATACATTAAATTATGGGTAAAATAGGTAATATTGTATTAAATATTGAGACAAACTCAAAGAGAATTTTATAAAAAAGGACAAACCCATTCAAAAAATTAGATCTTATAACAAGGGAACAAAAGGAGTATGCTTAATATGTCATATTCCCTTTTAATTTTTTTAAAATATTCTCGTACATTATTACTACCCAGTTTTATAATAAGCTTGTAAGGAACATCAATCTTAGCAAAGATAACAAGAGCATAATTGGAAAATGCTAATTAAAAAGTGCATGAAAATCATCAGTTAAATTGATTTCTTATGTTGGAAGGATTGAATTTAGAGAAGAAAAGATGAAATTCTCTTTTGCTGCCCTTTACTCTTTTGGAATAATAAAGTGGCGAAAGTAATGAAATTATGTATGAAAGGTTACATTCTTACAAGAGAGTTAAACTCCTTTTGAAAAGGATTTCTTTTTATTGTTTACATTTATTATATATTCATAATTATTATTCAATAGCTCTTATTTCGATATTTTTGTATTGTTGAAAAGGATTTCTTTTTATTGTTTACATTTATTATATATTCATAATTATTATTCAATAGCTCTTATTTCTCAACAATACAAACATAAAATTTATTTTTCTAACGTGAATATTATTTTAATATTTTGATATGCACTATCTATCGAAGAAATTCTAAATATATCTACACAAGAGAATATACTTTGCAGTCAAGCGTAAAGTTTAGAGTTGGGCTCAAACTAACCTGTCATTTTTTAAATAAAAGTTTAAATGAGTTAGATTTTGAAAGTTTACATCAAGATAAATTTTAAAATTAAAAATATTCACAACCCAGCTTTTAAATCGAATAGTCGAGTCCTTATAATTTTAAGTGACTAATAATAAAAAGAAAAAAAAATTATAGGGATTAGATTAAAAATCAAGTGTAACTATAAGAAACTTCATAAAAAAAAAAAAAACTACAAAGATCTAATTAAAAATAAGGTAAATCCATGCAGATTAATTTTTCTTACTTGTTAATAAGGATTTTCGTAAATTTTTATCTCTCTCCTGGACTCCCTTTGACATGCAAAACACGAGAAGTTTCCTCCCTCTCTATCTCTCTTCTTTCTTTCTTTCTTTCTTTCTTGCTTTCTCTATAGTCTTCCCTAACACAGTTCAACTTTGTAAGTAAAGAAATGAAAGCTAAAGTGATAGAAATGGGAAGAGCTTTCTTCATGTTGCAAACGCTTTTGCCATCCTTTCCTGCCATCAGTGCTGCTAATTTGCTTTACTTTTGGGTCATGTTATTGCTCATAAGGCAGACTATGCCCATTGGCACTTTTCTTTTTTGGGTTCTTTTTTGGCACTTCAAAAAAAGTATACAAAGGAAGTTTGACTGAACCAATTGAACATAAACCAAGGGAAAAAAACAAGCAACATTAGTTCTTGGTTTGTCCTTCTATCTTTCTTTCTTTCTTGAGGACCTGAAAATATAATGAACAGAGCAATTCTTCAAGATTATTCTTTCCAGTAATTTAGAATTACTATGTTTTTAAGCAATAGTCAACAACAAGCTGCCTCAGTAATAGCATTATTTTTAACATCTGGGCGAGGTCAATGACTCAAACCCAGTGTTAACGTAATTGTATGTGAGTATATTTACATTAGTTAAGGAAAAGTCTTTAAGCAATAAGAGCCCCTGCACTTCTCAGCAGAGACAATATGAATTTAATATAATTAAAGAATGCTCGTATCTGTGGTGTTTCGGCAATCCTCTCTGATTTGCCTTCAGAAAAATTTTCCTTACAATTGATGCAAAGTTGAATCAAACAAACCACTCTTCCTACTTCTAACCAATCTAGCAACTGCATTAACTTTCTCAATGATTGATGGAAGAAGCTCAGCTGCTTCATCATGTAACTGAGTTCCAGCTCCTTCTAAAATATCATCCCCACAGCTACTAATTTCTAATCTTGAAAATAACTGCACAGCACTCTCAGCTGCAGAATCCAATCTATTTAATGCATTCTTGCATGCAATTATGGTTTCCTCCGGTTTACTCTTTTTATGAAGACTTTCTTTTTTATCTCTGTCCTTGCTCATATCATCATCAGCCAAATTTTCTTTGATTGTGCATCTAGCTAATGCACATTCTGAATTTGCTGAAATTTTTCTCGAATTCATGAGGTCCTATTGAAAAAGCAAACATGTAAGCGAAGTAAATAGATATGTTACGGTATCTTGATGCAATTTCTGAGGAATATAATGGAAACAGATTGTCAGTACTAGAAATGACACTAGCAATTAGCATATTCACTTATGAAAATGCTCAATAGGCTATATATAACATATCTACTTCCAATCCACATATTCTATGAAATTTTCATCAAATTTGATAGCTGTGTGAGTATGTCTTATGCCCCTTGATGTACCTGTTCCAAAGAATTTTTTACTTCATTTTCCATCATCCTAGAGGATGCATTTTCCAACGTACTGCGAATCGTGGCGTCTCCCTCATAGTTACTGGTTTTATCAGTTATATTTCTAACAGGAGTGCTAAATAGCCTCTTGCAGTCCCCAGGGCCATGATGTTGCACAACAAATCTTGCAGAGTACCTATGTAATAGTGATTTTCGTGCCTCCATCTGCACAATAACACACATTTGAGGAAAATAAGATAATAGCCATAATACAAAGCTCCAGATTGCAGTAGCTTAAATCAGTTAGAGGATGTCTTGCTTCCCTAGAGATTTGGGAGCAATTCAACCACATCTATTTATAAATCTTACGTCCAATCTTAGTTTCATGTACAAAGATGACTCATATATTTGTTATAACTCACATTTTAGTGCTTCAATACTCAAATCAGGAAAATGATAACTAACCATTTTATTAAAAATCTTAAGTGTCATGCAGAAGGACTGACCTTTTTGGCATTTGATAAACTGCCAAAATGTTGCTTGAATAGTTCACTATCTTCTTCGGGATGCATGTTGTGTAAGTTAGACTCAGTAGAAGCTTTTGAATCACTTTCACATTCATCTGTATGTAACTGCTCTGTTGTGCTGCCAGAAATTTGTTCTGGATACTCGCAACATGATCCATTATTACTGTTGCAACCTGCAAGTTGGTCTGAGAAAAGATCCCTCTCTTCTTGTTTCATATGGCTACGGCGCCCAAAACAGCTTTGGTCATTTTCGATCTCAGCCTCATCTTGTCCTGCAACAAGCCACCATTTGTAAAACAAACATCGCTTTATAAACTCGTAAGTTGCATGAAATCACAAACGTTTGCTTTTAGCTTCAGAGTTTGGCATGCTTCCAAAATCAGGAATTTACTGAGCCTGCCATGCATGCTAAAATCATAAATATGAAAAAAACTGCAACAGATTATGCTAGTGACAATAAAGATTAATTAGCACCGCGTATCAACAGCAATATTACAGGAAAATTGAGGTCCTTTCTTGAAATAGTTGATTGCTTCGACCCTAGATTTTCATAATTATTTCACCTTCAAATAATCAATGAAATGGCCGGTTCATTTAAATTGGTCAGAAAGTAGACATAAGTGCATCTACAATAAGAAGAACGTAGAGACATGGATGTCACAGAGAACATCTTAATTATTCGAAGCTATTGGTTGTGACAAACAAAACGCTGGTGTCATTGAGCAAGAATTTCATCCAGGAGATGTCAACACTAAAATTAAGATAAACAGATCAAACTGAAGAAATTTCACATGGAACAATGCTTTTGACATATATTTATGTAAGACACCCATAGCCATAATGGCAGCATCCTGGAAACGAAAAAGTTGATGGAGAACAAGTGAGAGAATGGGGAAGAAGGAATGTGGGAGAAATAGAGATAGGGGAAAGAGCCGACGGCAAAAATTCAGTCTCAGTAATAATTCAGCAAAAGGTCTAAAAATGGAAATAATCAAGGGCTATTTATAGAGCCCTAAATACAATAATAACTACTTAAACCTAATATGAAATAAACCCTAACTTAAAAGAAAAGAAAACCTAACTTACCATCAGAAGCATCTATAAAATCAGACAGCAATTCATTAAACACTTTGCATGCAATGCCGTCTCCACCAAGTGCGTCCAATCGCCACACACAAGTGATTATAGCCTTAAGATTTGCAATAGAAACTCTATATTTTGTCGTCAACAACACATTCTTCAAATTAGATTTGTGAGACGCTTAATTAACAAGGTTGGTCTTCTTTCCTTTCCTCAACAAGGGTGAAGACTGGGAGATAAATAATGTAAGCATAAAGGTTGGCCTTACTTAAACTTGAGGAAAACTCTGACATCTTTGTATCCATTAAACTTTGCATCTCTGGGGAGGACAAAGCATCCATGCAAACAGTATAAACAGAGAGCCAACGGTTGTCCAAAGCAAAGTTGCTGAAATTATAGTGAATCCATGAGCCAAGTATTCATGCCATCAGAAGTTAATGACTGAGACCCAATGCTTACCTGAAAGTTCCTCCAGGCCTTGAAAGACATTGAGTTTTTGTATACTCTGGTGACGAAGAAGCATGACCAACTGGCATAATGACTTCTGGGGATAGGGAATAGGCCTGATCATCACCAATGAAACCATAAGCATTCGCGTGCTAATTTTACACAATTCTCTTAGTGTGTGTTGGAGTAATCTAAGAAAGGGAAGTGTTTGGCATGAATTTAAATTATGTAATCAGAAAATTCCTTATTTAAATTTGGATAGTATCAATTTTTAAATTACTTAGATAATTTAATCAAGTAAATTTCAAAAAACTTGCCATTCCACCAAAACATGAGAATTTGACAATTACCTCTTCCCTCTTTTTTTTTTTTTTTTTTGGGAATAACATGACCACGGTCAAAACCATCTCATAGCCTCCTCCCTCATTTTTGAGGACCCCCCCCCCCCCAAACAAAAAAACACACACACGCAGACACAGAGCACAAGCTCAATTGCAATTTTTAAAAATATTAGGATTATACAAACAAATAATTTTAAATACAAGGAATTCAACAAAATATGGTAATGCAACATTAGATATTTACTTTATGTATTTCCATTTCTTGATATCTGTTTTATTTTCTAGTACTGTTTTTTAACTCTCAAACTTCAAAGATTAAATTTTCACTGTGGTTATATTTTTATCATTGAAGAAGGTTATCCGGGTTTTCACTGTGGTTATATTTTTGTCATTGAAGAAACATGATGGGGATTCTAAAAGGGTCCAGCAAGAATATAGAACACACATACCTCTGATAAAGTATTGTTTACACTCCCGCAGACAATATTGGAGCCGGTCACTTTGGTTTGTGCCCATTTTGGAAGTCTTGAAACACTAAATTTAAAAGCTTTAGCCTCCCTACCACTGCTTCCTGGATAAGGCATTCTCCCGCTACTTTGGTTGTTGTTCCTCAATGACCAGACATCCTCCGGATTGATTTTAGATTGCTGAAACTGCTCTTCATAGGGTGGTAGATGGCGAAAAGTAGCTGGCTGAGCTAAGCTTCTTGGAGACAATGGATTACTTTTCCCCGTTATATTCTTAAGTATTTTAGAAGACAAAGAAGAAGGCAATTTCCACAGGAAAACACAACCATCACCATCTACCTGAACACATCAATAAAAAAGTGTAGGTGGTTACAAGAAGATATTGACAACCTTCTTTTTCTATCACGGCGACAAGAAAAGCTATTTAGAGTCAAACACTATAAAAGTGACTTCCATTAGTATGTCGTCTTATATTTATTCATCTGGTCTTAAATATGCACGTTCAAGTTTCTGAACTTCATGACCTGTGAACATTTTATGCAGTGTTTTCACTCTAGTTCATACATGCAGACACATGTCAAAAGCAAAGCCCTACTTCACATACAAAGCCATGAATGCCCAAACAATGTCAAAAAGTACTGCCTAAAAATTGTGCCTGTGAGGTTTGTCCTTTCAACGACACATTAAAAAAGAGTATTAATTGTTAAGATTCAAGAAACGTATTGAAATGCTGTCTTTGATATGTACTCTGTGATATGAACTTTTCCTAGATCTTGACATTGTGATGGACGTGGGCATCCATTGACTTGGGTTCGGAAGAAGCCCAAGGATTTAGTAAAGGGTAATTGAGGTATTTTCTGCATGACCGTTAGAGGAAATTGTAAAGAGAGTATGGAAGGTGTAAACTGTAAAAGTGGGTTTGGTCAGAGGGAGAGGGGTAAAGAAGGTTTTGCCAGTCTGTTGGGAGAGCTGTGGATATTCCTCTTTGCTTGTAGTAGTTTCCCTTCATTATACCTATACTCTCTGGGTGTTTTGTGATTGAATAACATAAATCTGAGACTGTTTCCGTCACATTCCTACGCTGGAAATAAAATATGGTAAGACTGTTAATTTAAGAACAGATTAAACAAATTAAAAGGTTACTTTACATAATAAGACTAGAATCGTGGTACTTGGGGAATCCTAATTGCACTCAAAAGTCATACTACGTTAATTTTAAGGATGCCTTTTTTCGGAAAATCCGTTAAGGATGAAATATTAATCATCTTGGAAGTGATGTCAAGAAGTCTCCGAGTACATCTTTGTCTTTCCTTCTCCAACATCATGCTTTGGTAAGTGATTAAACTCAACCATTGAAGTCCCGAAGCACACCTTTTTATCTCTCCTCTCTGTTAATATCTACTATGGATTCATGAGACTTGAAGTCTGCAAGTACATGTTTTGTTTCGCATTGTGATGCTTTAATGTTACGATCTTTAAACGTAAACATAGTTAATTTCTTTTAGAAAATTAAAAACAGGGGCACCTCTTAGAAATTGCATATAGTTTTTGAAAACAGGTCTATAAAAAACCGAAGGTCCAGCACGAGGGAAACTCACAGAAACTATATGCTTGCAATCGGGCAAGAAGATGATGCCAGTTACAACTTCAGCATGTCCCATGGCACTTGCAACCATTTGTCCCGTGAATAAGTCATATATGCAGATGGACTTGTTAGAGAATGAGCAGACCACATAAGTGCCGCTTGGATCCATTGTAACCTGCAAACATAATTACTTCCCAGCAAAACAGCATTTTAACATTTTGTAATCTTTTCTTGACCATGTAACTCACCTTTATAGGGTCTCCACAATTTTTATCTTGCTTGTACGACCTAATTAGCTTTCGATCAGTAATGTCAAATGTGTTTATCTTCTTATCCTATGATTAGGAAAAGAAAATCAGTACCTTCAAGCAGAAGCATTCTGGAATTACGATCAATATCTTTTTTCAAAAAAGGAAACAAACAGGAAAGTGTGCTCATATAGAATTAGGTGGGCTGAATATTGTGTTTTTTGGATAGTCTTTTAAGTCACTGCTGAGCACGAATAATAACTTTTGTTAACCATTACCTATATTACCTGCCCAACTGTGATTACAATCCCCAATCTTTGATCTACATCCATGTCATAAACAGTTCCATGCGAAGCCTTTAAACTATGTTGCTGCAGAATTTTATAATCAGCATCTGCTATCCTAATGTCACGAAGCACCAGCGAACTAAAAGTATGAAACAAAGGGTTAAGTTAATATAAAGGGAAACATTCAGTATCAAAAGATGAAAAAGGTTGGGCCGACTTCTTCTTGTAACAACATTCTACAACACCACTAGTCACAGATTTATCTAGGAAAGAAAAATAATATGCTCTTGATTCTATCGAAATTCAGGGTGAAAAACAAATATGATGAATCGGACTCACATTTATTGTTCATTTTTTCCCTAAACTAATAAATTAGAAATATAAACCGAATGATTTTTTTCAAATCCATTGTGAGAAACTTAAAGGGACGAAACTGTTTGATAGGATTTAACAAAAATTATAACCCTGATGTTCATAAATATATGATCTTGATCTGTGAAACTGATACTAAAAGCTGAGTGCATCGGACTATTGTAAGGTAGATGGGCCACACAAATAAAGCATAAAATCTCTTAGTCAAATTGACCACATAACAAGCCCCTTATTACATTTTGATATGATTCATCTGCTAAACAGATGATCTAAAGAAAAGCAAAATAAAAATTCTTTGGTAGTCTTGTAAGTTCCACAATTCATACCCATGCAAAGGTTGCATCAAATGTTGAATACAATGGTGTATTCTGTTGATATTTGTTAGGATGTATTTTCTAAATATAATCACAGCAGCTTGGTAATGTTCAAACCCATTCTTTTGCTGAACATCGTCAGCCTCAGAATGTTCAACATCAAAATTTCTAAAACTTACACAGCCCATTTTAGTCTTTTTACTTCCTTTTCAAAGTTGTTACAATTTATGTGAAGACAAATTATATCATAATCTCTTTGAAGAGAAACTTGTATTTTGCCCCAACAAAAGCACAAACCTGTGCCAGCATACCTATCAGCACTACAACTGAGGATCTTGCAGTTGTTGCTTGTAATCTTTATTGAGGTCACTGCCGCCGAATGATCATCAATACTGTCAATGAGATTGAAATTTCTGCCGCATGCAAAATACAGACAGTCATTGAATGATCATCAACCTCTTAGCTAAGTAAAACATTTACAAGACATACCTTCCTACATCGTAGAGATTAATTATACAATCTCTACCACCTGAAGCAAGATAATAACTATTGTTGGCGATTTCTTTATATGTGTCTTGGCCGCATAAAGTGAAGCTCAGCGTGAGGATCTCTGCACCATGAGCACTCTGAAAGAACAGCCAACCTTTACTCTTTAAAAGATTGCATAAATGACCATTAACAGGAGTGAAGGGGGGAGGAGACGGCATGTCCTCATATAGCATTTTACAGCTCAGTAGTCTTATAAAAACACTTAGGCACCTCAGTTCACCTGAATGCATGTGTAATCTGATGTTTCAAGGTTGTATATATGAAGGTTTCCTTTGCAATCACCAGCAGCCAGATACTTTCCATCTGAACTAGTGGCAAGAGACCGGAACCCTTGCTTGCCAACATCTGCTTCAACTGCTTCACGTTCGAAAGTCCCAGTAGTTACTGCAACAAGAAACAGGAAACATGCAACACGAATACAAAAGTTTAAAAACATATTGCAGGTAGTCTTGATTGTGAGAGCCTGAACAGAAGATCACCGAATTGGCCACATTACCTAAACTTGAAGAACTCATTAGCTCAGCCTTTACAGAGCAATGCTCTGCAGCATCTTTTGGTAAATCAGATCGCAAAGCAAGATCCCATAGCCTTATCGTACCATCAGTAGAGCATGTTGCAAATGAAATTCCACCTGAACAACCTCTAGCAATGCATGCAAGAGATGGATCATGGATGTTTTCACAACATAGATTTTTGACATCCCATATACACGAGGAATGTGAAACTAGCACACAACACCTTGCAGCCTGGAAAATGGGAAACATTTTGTTGCATCAATCACTGTTTCTCTCTGTTTTTTGGGGGGGGCCTTTAGGAGCTCTGTGCCAAAAATTATCAAACATATGAAGTTACAATGATATAAGTAGCACAAAAACCTGTTACCTGATTTCATGGATGCTCCAAATGCATAGACTATGATCCCCGTAAATAACCACTGTGGTGAAATATGGAGAATATTTTAAGGCACAACGTTATGACATGCGCGATCATCAAAACTAGGTTAATTTGAACGCTCACCAAGCTTTTCTAAGGCTGAAAACTGACATGACTGCGTCCGGCAGGGGAGGCAA